TGATAAATTTCATAGTGGATTTTTTATGATAAATTTCATAGTGGATTTTTTTATGATAAATTTCATATTTTTTATGATAAATTTCATAGTGGATTTTTTATATATATGATAAATTTCATAATGGATTTTTTTGTTGATAAATTTCGTAATGGATTTTTAATGATAAATTTCATAATGGACTTTTTAATGCATTTCTTGTTGCTGTTTTAATTTCTTATATTAAATTTCATAATGGGTTCTAATGCATTTTATTGGTTATGATCGACATGGGTGTGGGACATTATGTCATCCATATGGTAAAGTAAGGTAAGACGAAGAAATGTGTTTGCAATGCTTTTAGGGCGTTAGAACTATTAAAGAAATATTTTACAACGGATGCGATAAGATAGCATTTTTTCAATAAATACAATGAAATACTATTTTTCAATAAATATGATGAGATCCTATTTTACAATAAATATGATGAGACACTATTTTACAATAAATATGACAAGATACTATTTTACAATAAATATGATAAGATATCATTTTACAATAAATATGATAAGACACTATTTTATAATAAATATGACAAGATATTATTTTACAATAAATACGATAAGATACTATTTACAATAAATATGGCAAGATACTATCTTACAATAGACATGGCAAGATCCTATTTTACAATAAATATGACGAGATATTATTTTATAATAAATATGATATGATAGTGGTTTACAATAAATATGGTAAGACAGTGTTTTACAATGAATATAGTGAGACAGTATTTTTCAATAACTAGGATAAGTAGTATTTTTACAATAGATAGGATAAATAGCATAAGATAGTATTTTACAATAGATAGGATAAATAGCATAAGATACTATTTTACAATAAGATATACATTAAGTTCTTTTTCTTTTTTATTATTTTTTGTTGTTATCAGTTACTATTTTTACTTGTAATTATATTTGATTGTAATTATATTTGATCTCTCTTTTTATTCTTTTCTGTATCTTCGATTGGTACCTAAATGTTGTTGATCATTTCGTTCTCTGATGATGATGGAAGGAGTCTGATTGCCTCTTTACTTGGTTTCTTATGTACCAGTAGATGTTTGAGACTATCCGTCAATCGATTCGCATACATGATAGGGATGTCATCTAGTGGTGTCCCCTCAAATATCTCTTGCCATATTTGATGGAAACGTGAACCAAACTGAGATAAAGATGGTGTATATGTGAAATGAAGAAAGATGTCTGTGTTGAAATTAATTTTTCTTCTTTCCTTTTTGTTCCATGCTATATTCAATACTAAATCCCTAAACTTTGAGTGATCTTGACCTAAGAGTTTATCTGATGTTTTTTCTCCTGTCAAATCATGACAAAAACGTCCTATATGGTTATCAATGAATCGTGGTGGGTATTTGTTCAATAGTAATGTTATTCGAATTATTTCCAATTCACGTTGAAGATCTTCTGGGTGTGAGCATATGCGTGTTGCTCGTAGAGCTGCGGCATACGGTATATTTCTTGTAATGTGTGGTGGATGTGATGAGTGGAATGGTAGCACATATGGTTGCGCCGCTAATTTTCGGAATACAGTTGTTCTAAAATTAGGAATTTCTATGGTAATCTTCACATCTAAGTATTCGATTGTTTTTCCTTTTTCCCAGATTATACTTATGTTAGGATCTTTCTTATTTAAATCTTGCAAAGTCTTTTCCATGTGTTCAGATGGTAATTTACTAGTAAAGAAGATATCATCTCGAAATCTATAATATAATTCACGTTGACGATGTTGTTCTTGTACAAAATTATATTCCCATTTTCTTATATAGATATCAGCTAGTACCTGAGTACATGCTGATCCCATCGCGCCTCCTCTAATTTGCTGGTAATATTTTGGTTTTGATCCTGGTAATTGAAGGACAAAGTATGAGTTTTCTAATACGTGTAGGAATAAAACTTTTATTGTATTAATCGATAGACCACCAACTTTGCTATAGCCGTACCTTCCTAAAAATTCACATATAGCCATTACAGCATCTTTTTGAGGGATCATGGTATATAGGTCTGATATGTCAAATGTATATAGATTTGTTTCGGTTGTTGGTTTAAATTCTTTTAAACGCTTTAGAAGTATCAGAGAGTTCGGGATCGAGTATGGAGTATGTCTGTCAAATAGAGGTCGAATTTTTTGATCGAGAAAACTTGATATTTTAGCTAGTGGGGATTTTATTCCGCTTACAATAGGTCTAAGTGGTTCACTTATTTTATGATCCTTTGGATTATAATATAAGTGTGGCAATTCTGATTCTTTTTGGGATGGTCTTAACTTCTCCAATAATGATTGAGGTATTTTTTTACTTGAAACTAAATTTCGTAGGAATTTATCCGTTTTCTCTATTATTTCTCTTAATGGTGATGATTGTATTTCTATATATGCATTTGTCTTTTCCATATATTGTGCAGATTTTTTTATATGATTTTCTCTTGTGTCAATATGGAAGACTTTCGATTTGTCTGTCTGTCTGAAAATGATGTTTTGTTTCTTTTGGATTTTTCGAAAATATGCTATAGTTGGTTTTAATGTTGGATCTCTTGGTGTTTCCGTTGCTATTTTATTTCTTATCTCTTCTTCTACTCGTTTGCAAAATTTCGTTACTATTGGTGGATTTCGTCCGATAGTCTTTGTTACTCTTCTCCAAGCCCCTGAAATTTTTTCTTTCATCTGTTCGATTTCTTTTGGGAGTCGTTGTAGAACTTGTTCAGGTGCTGGAGGAACAAATTTTGGACCTAAATTAAGTATTCTAGTTTCTGTATCCTTTAGTATGTAAGCTTTATTGTTTGTCTGGGGTGGAAAACTGATTCGAGTATAGTGAGGATGCAATTTTGCTTTTGGATATCTCGGATGATGATGTGTTAGGGCGTGCATTAGTTTTCGTTGATTATGCACGCCCTTTTTGCTAAAAAATTCAATTTCTTTTTTGTATATTGTTCATGTCTCTTTTGTATTACATCACATATGACTTCATGAGGTTGTCGAAAATGATCTGCAAGTTTATTTAACAATTTATTGTATTCTGTTTTTGCTTCTTCTATTTCAACTACTTTTGCTCTTCTCATTAATATTGTCAGATCTAATTTAGTTTTTCGTAGAATATTCTTCCATTGTTCTCGAAGAGAACATAATTCTGTGTTATCTGACTTCAGTTGTTTTGCATGCAATTCTATTTTATCAAATATATTGAGAGATGGTGGTGGCATATTTTCTACGAATCTTTTTTCTAATTTATCCAATTGCAATTTAAGATCTAATATTCTTTTGTATTTTTCTTGTAAATCTTTTATATATTGTTGTTCTGATTGTGATGCTGTTTCTTCGATTTTCAATCTAGCTTCCTCTCTCATTTGGTCAAGTTGAAGATTATCAAGTCTTTTTTTATCAGTTTTTCTTTTATTTTCAACCGTTTTCTCAAGAATATTCTTTACGAAATTAACTACTTGTGACCACATATGTTTGTCAAATGATGAATGTAATTTTTTCTCTCTTTCATTTTCTAATGTTTCATATTTGCTTTGAAGAAAAACTTGATGATTTTTTATTGTTTCAAATGTGCTTTTCTGTCTCATTCTTTTAAAGTGATATCTGCATTCGATGGGGATAATTGAAAAGTTATATAACTTATTTGATATTATATTATTTTTAGGTATGACTGATGGTGATTTTATTAAAACTTCTGGTGTTGAACTTTGTAAAGGAGATATTATCATTGATGGTACATTTACTAATGGTGCAACTATGATAGGTGTTTGTATATGTTGTCGTTGTTGCTCTTCGATATTTGATCTTTCAAGAGGAAGAAGTGCATTGAAAGAATATTGTCCTTGTCTATGATTATTTATTGTATCTGATAGTGGTGATGAACAAAGTGATCTTCTAGCTAGTGGAATATTAGGATTTCGTGGTGGTAATGTTTTTCTTGGAATAATCGGAGGTGGTTGTCTAGGAGATGGTGGTGTTGGTGGATCATCACGTCGATGTCCTAATTTTCTTTTTTGTCCTGGAATTGGTTCTGATAACCATTCATCAAAAATTTCAGGATAATCACTGAAGTCTAAAGTAGTTGGAGGTCTTGCTAGACCTGTAGGTGATGGTCTAGCAATAGGTAGTTCATTATCATTGTCTTCTATTATAGTTTCCATTGGTTCTATTTGCTCGACTGTTTGTTTATTAGCTGCAGCTGTCATGTATATTTTCCATTTTTCAGCTTCTAATTGAAAATATTCTGTTTGAAAATGAATGTTACTTAACAGAAAAATATCTTCTTTTTTATCTTCTAATTCTTTTGGTACTGTAATTTTTCGAAAGAATTCATCTTTATGTCGCAAGAAATGTGGATAATGTGAAATTAATGACTTACTTGGTAAGTTATTTAAATTTTCATTTTTTAATATATCTTTCTTTTTTAAACAATTACTATTGTTTTTATTGTAAGAATTCTTATTAGTATTAATAGTACGATTATTAGTATTATTATTAGTAGTAGTAGAATTATGATGATGACAAATATTAGTAGCAGTAGTAGTAGCATGATTATAATGATTATGATTAGTAGCTGTATGATTATGATGTTGACGATTATTATTATGATGATGATGATAAGCAGCAGTTGTAGTCTGTTTATGCTGATGATGGTTAGCAATACTAGTAGGATGATGATGATGTGATGTAATAGAAAAATGTTTCGATTGCTTTATGAACCAATTATAAAGTGCTCTTTCAATTAGAACACGCCCGGATTGTATTGACGGATGTAAACCATCGTAATGCATGTGTTGATGTTGGAGATTAGCATTAATTATTTCGAAATTTTTTTCTTTTGATAATTTTTTAAGATATTGATTAAATTCTTGATATTTCTCATTAATAGTTATAGAATTGAATAATTTAGATGGTTTTGATCGTGGTGAAAGTGTTAGCCATCCAATTGATTTCAAATGAGGAAATAATTCTCGTACACGTTCTATCAAAATACGACAATTTTTTATAGCAAGATCAGAACCTAAATTAGCAACATCATTTGTACATAGAGAGAAAAGAACAAAATCAGCTTGAAATATACTACTTCGATTAATGTTCTGTTCTTCTAAAAATGTTAACATTCTGCTGCAATCGCAGCCAGATTCAAAAGATATTTTTACCTGTATATTATCGGAACTTACCGTCTCTGGTCGCACGTACTTACACATTGAATCTGATAAAATTAAACCGTTTAATTTTTTTAATGTTGATGTTGATGTTGAATGTTGGTTTGTATTCATGTTATTATTATTTTCATGATGTTTCATTATTTCATGTTGATGTAATACTGTTTGTTGTTTATATTGTTCAGCATGTTGTAATTTACGACGATTTTTTCTTGGTGGTTGTTGAAAAAAATCAACAGACATGAGACTAGGTATTTTCTTATTATTTGAAGATTTTAAATGAGTAATATTATTATTATCATTGTTATAATATGGTTTTGGTTGATGTTGATGATAATTATTATTATTATTTTTATTATTAGTACTAGTAATAGCATTATGATTATATTTAGATATATTGGTATAACCAGAAAAAGTTGTTGTTGAACCAGTTTGAAATTTTCGATAGGGATGGGAATTTTTTCGTTGTCCTGCATGGTAAAGATTTGGTTTTTTATTAATATGTGGACGTAAATAAATATATGAGGATGTGGGGTGTGGAGGTAGATGATTTGTAGACATGTGAGTACGACGAGTATTATCATTTGGAATATTAAATTGTAAATTCATGTTGACTCTTTGAGCGAACGTATGAGCAGGTTATGGTTCGACGAATATATGTATATAACAATTCTTTTTATTTTGACAAGTCAACACGATTGTTTTAGTTTTAGTAGATAACAAGGAATCAGAAGAATAATGAACAAAATAAATAATAATGATTTTTTGTGTTTTTTTATTTTTTTATTATTTTTTTAAACTATTTTTATTATATTGATAATCAAGTAAAAGAAAGTAATAAGAAAACAAGAAGGAAAAAAAACAAAAGAAAAGGAAGAGAAATAGTGAGAAGAATATTAATATATAAATAACGCTAGGCCTTTCGAATTGTCTTTTTCAAGCGAGTAAATAAGAATTGTTTAAGTAAGATAGAACAGTGCTTATATATTTCATCAAAATAATCTGTTCATTATTGCATTAAAGTAGACAGAATTGATCAAAACGTATGACTAATTGATTATCTTTTCATTAACAAAAATTATACGTATTAGAATGATTGTTAATAATAATTTGTAAATTTAGAACAAATATTGATTTCTTTTAATTACCACTGCTCTTTCATATGCATACTCTAGGGAACTGAAAAAACAAAAAGATTTCATTTAAATGGTCATTTCCAAAATTTTCATAAAAAAAATTCATGATTTTGATTATTTCACAAACATCGAAATTATTGTATTAATTTGATTACATTTACATCATTTTTATCGTATGATTTTAGTATTTTCAAGAAAGCTATAGTTTAATGCAATTTAATGGATTATTTCTACGTACTCTTTTCATATGAATAACGCAATATATTTTAATGCATTATGATGCATTATTTCAAGTTACTTCTTTCACATGAATAGCATATATAGTTTAATGCATTATAATGCATTTTTTTAAACTGATATATTAGCATGTCCCTACGAATTATATCATAATGTTTCCTAATGATTTTCTCTTATTATTGAATGTTAGTCGAATATTGAATAAGAATTGTTTTGTTAATGCATTTTAATGCATTATTGTCAAATGATATTGTAATGTCGACTAATGGTTATTTTTCGTTGTGTTTTATTGCACATTATTATCGGCTGATATTTTTATATAAGTTATTGGTTATATTTTAATGCGCTTATGATGCATTTTTATTGAAGGATATTGAAATTTTCTGTATCAATTATATTTGTTCAATTACTATTGAGTGATTTTGTGTTATTCGCGAATCAATTAATTTTCAACGCATTTTAATGCATTATTTTTTGATGATTTTTTCGTATTTTACAATATGTTATATAGAGAAAAATTCATTATAATGGATTATTACTGATATATAGAATCTCTGATAGCCTTATTCGATTTTATTTTGAATTTATTATCATGCGATATTCAAGAATAATACTATATTGACTGATTTGGATTTTTTATTTTCATGCATTATAATGCATTGTATTGAAATCGTATATTCTTGTATGTCTTGTTAAAGGTATTTAAATGCATTACAATGCATTATTATCAGATGAGATAGCCTCTGATTTACTATTGATTATTGTTGTCGTGCATTGGTATATAGTTTTTCTAGATAATATTTTGTTGAGCAGTATTGAATTTTATTTTTATTCATTATAAGATACGATAATGAAATCATATTTTGTTATATACTTTAGTAAATGTATTTTAATGCATTATAATGCATTATTTATTGAAGGGAATAGTAATATTCATTAAATAGTTTGATGTATTTTAATGTATTATTTTCGAAGAATGTGGAATAGGATTGAGTCTTTGAATGTTACTTCATTATAATGTTCTTTTGACTAATATTTGAAGATGATATTGGTGAATTTGAATAATAGTATCTGATGGGATCCTTAGGGAAGGTCAATATCTATCATGTCTGGTTATTGTTCATCTTACTTAATTACTATTATGCTTTGCTATTTGTATATTATTTATTTTCTTATTGGAAGAAAATAAGTTTATCGTCTCCATATTACTAATAATATGTAGATCTCTCATTTGGTAGATTAGTTGTTTTCTTATGGTTGTGCTCTTGAGCGTTACTTCTGAATGATATTGTGTTAGCTAATATTAAAATTTGGTTTAATGGGTCAAATATGATTGAGTCAACCAATAATCAGAATTGTTTTCCTATAAATGTATTGAATAGTAGTTGTGCATGTTTGGGTATGACTGTGTTAGAAGATAAAGATGAGTGGTAATAGGATTGGAGTTTTAAAAAAAATCGCGCATTCGGTGAAATGAAAAGTATGAAAATTATTACTTTGTGTATAATGTCCATTAGTGAACTACGCCGAAGTCCTAAACTCGATCCCGACTCTGACTCCGGCGGGATCGGAATCAAAAAAACAAAACTTCTCGGAATCGAAGTAGAATTCGGAACTACGACGAAAAAAATTTCGCAGTCTGAGTAAAAAACACTCAACTAAACTCTGAATTTCAATCTTGACTAAGATGGAATTCAGCTATTTAACATTGAAAGAAATTTTTTGTAGAAGTTAATGTTCAACGAGGGAATCTTTTCAGATACCCCTTCAGATTTCAATGAATTTTTGTCTATAGATATTACATAATGTCCTGGTGAAAACTCTAAAAGAATATGGACTCCTGTCGCTACCTTCAAAAGCTACACGTAGTCTTATTTTACTCCGATCAGATATAATATACAGCGTTCAAGAGATGGTTTGCCAGATCACCAGTTAGTTCAGATCTCATGGAGAACAGTAAAGGTCATTTTCGACCGTTCGATTTAAAATATCTTTCGAAATGAAGCATTTTACAATTTTTAATTCATAAGAACTTTTTATCTACTCATCAATATCTATCTACTACTCAAACTTCGACAATATCTTATCGAACAATCTTAAACAAATATCAGAAAGGAGGAGAACGAGGAGGAGAAGGTGAAGTTCGTTGAGCTAAATAAGAGTAAGAGGATAGATAAATATTATTTTTCAATAATTGATTATTTGTTATATTGAAGAACTATTTTAAAATAAAGTAAACTATTTTAGTGTTTTCATTTAGTCAATATAGATCTCAAGTTAATTTAACATACGATAAGTCTATTAGAATTCTTTGACAGATTCAGGTTGACCTTCGTTGGGTTGAGTTAGACCTTTATTCAAATTAAAATAATCTTCACTTTTTATCATTTGACATTCTTCTAGCTATATATTCATCTCTATTTTATATTTGACAATTGATTGAAAACCTAATATGTTAGAATATAATTGATTCATTTTATCGATATATTTAATAAGAATCATTTTAAAAACTTTGAATATTTTTCATAACTCGGTTAGACAATCCAACTAAACAATAATAAGATTATTTTATTTGATTAAGCTTTTTAAAAATGTTAACCAATAACCTTTTAGAATATATTTATTAAATTGTCTTTATTCGAATTATAATATAGAATAGATGACGCTTTTATTAAAAGATAATTTACATTAAATATTTATTTTATTTCATATTGAAATGTTACAATTTATTATAATTATTTTTTTTTAATTATGTGTGAAAAGTTTTTCGATCGTTTTTTTATACAAAAACATATTCGCACAAATTAGTTTATTCACCATAACTAAATAAATTTAATTTTTCCAAATCAGATCTCAATTATATTTAGTTAGACTCAAATTTAATTGGAAGATTTCCAGTTAACAGCTGAAGCTTAGAAGAATTTAAAATCTACAAAGAATTTAATATAACATCTACAACAATCTTTCTTATTTTTCCATGAGTTTTTTTATGTTACTTTAATATATAAATCTATATCAGTTGGATGAAAAACTTCTATACAAAACAAAAATATTTTATATCTTCCTTTATACTCAAACAAATCATCTCTTTTTTTTTATTAATTCAACAACCATTTTCAAAGTTTAGATTTCTAAAGGTGTGTTAACAAAGATTATCTATTAACTATTAAGGATCTTTCTACACATTTCTTTATCAATATAAAGCTTGATTATACTTCGTCAATTAATAAAAAAACAAAAAGTCATTTCGTTTGCTTGAGTCATAGTCAACATATAAAATTTTTTTTTTTGTTTTTGCTATTTTAATTATTGTTCTATCGTATAAATAATTGTTTTCATAAATAATTTTTTTTCCTGAATTTACTAAGATAAATAATAATTTTTGTAAAAAGGTTCATTAATATTATCTGATTCAAAATTAAATTCAACAGCAAAAGGAAATTTATCATCTTCATCAGAATTATCTTTAACAATAGCTGAACAAATTCGTCAAATTCTCTCAACAAATTTAATAAAACAATCATCTTTTATTTCAACATCTAGAAAATAAATAACGGTTTATAGACAAACTTTATACGTTGATTATCTCAATATTATTTCTTATAAGAAAGATATTTTATACATTTATATATACATTGACTATATTATAGAAAACATTTACCTTCGACAAGCTTCACAAGTTCTTTTTCTATATATAAATACAAAATTTATCCAAATTGAATATATCAACATAAGACTTCAATATTCATGTTAGCATTTAAGATAAAATTTATTTTCTATAATATGTTTCCTTCTCTTCTCAATAGAATTATTTTCGATTTTCGAAATAGGTCAATAAGAGTTTTTTTTTTATTAATGAAACAAAAAATATTCTACTTGACAGATTGATATATTTAGTTAATTTGAGAATAAATATCATCAATTAACTATAAAAAAAACTGTTTTATTCAATATTGTCAATATATATAAATATAATAGTTTATAGTTGACTATTATTAAATTATTTGAATAATTAGTCAAACGAAATGCTAAATAAATAGTTGAAAGTAAAGGAAACGTTTTTGTCAATTGAAAATATTCCATTAAAACTGCAACATCATACATTTTGTTGAAAATCTTCTCTATTCTTTTAACTATCATCAAAATTAGCTTTTTTATTATATTTCATTGGTATAAAATTATCTTTTTAGAAAAGTAATTTTATATTGTAATAGAGGGCGAGAGGACGGGGGCGCA